AATGGGAGGGTCGCGCATGGTATAGGCACATATTCCCAAAGTTTCAGCCTTCTATCTTTTCCCGTTTCCGAGTAATCAATTTTCCCGCCAAAACTTTCACCCCCTCGTACGCGGGGCCCAGACGTGCGTGAGGGCTGGTACCGCGGTTTTGGGGTGGTACGTGGCTGGGGTACCCACTAGCAAAATATCGGCGCTGAAACTTGCTTGGTTTCCGAGTTGAAATACCTGGACAGACGAACACACACACCCACACACAAACATACACACATATACACACAGATAGGGTCGTCCCAATATGCGTTTTTGCGATTTGCATATAGGCAAAAACGCATACAAGGTGCTTCGACGCAAAAGTACGGAAAGTACAGTGGAGTAAAATGTACTCAGTGAGCAGATTATTTGAATAGCTTGAAAATAAGGAACGGTCGTGACAAGTGAGGAGGGCTTAGCCATTCCAAAACGCTTTTACTGAGTCCATTTAATTGATGCCCGAGGCGGAATTCCGATTGGCAGTTACATGAAACAAACGCTGTCAACAATTCGATTTGAGCCGTTCCATTCCGCTAAATACGCCATTGTCCAAAGGAATGTGGAAACTGCCTTGCAATGGAGGCTTTGCTGCTGTCGTCATGACCGTACGAAATGCTAATAACAGAGAGCTGCATTGAGAAATAATACATCGCGTCTACACGCATTCCGGACGTTCCGATCTCAAAGACAATCAGAAACTGAAAAATATGCAGACGAATTGAGGGTGTTTGCGCGATGAGGAGTTTGGGCGAACGCGACACTGCGTAAGATTTCGAACTGCTGGGGAACAGTTTTTTGGCTGCTGAGAGAAACGCCAAAGCTACAAAAAGCAGCTGGAAGGAGAGAGGAAGGAGGATAAAGCCAGGAGCAAAATAACAACCCGAATAGCCAGGCTTATGTAAATGAGCAAAGGAGACTACTTGCTGGATGAGGATGGGATTAAAAGCTCAAAAGTGGCTCCTGTTCATTGCTAACTACTAATATCACGAAATGTAGTCTCTTTGTAGACGATCCATAATTCTCATTTCCTCATCTAGCTATTTTACGCTCCATTTCGTGATGCCTTTTTTACAGACAGCACTTTATCGTAAAATGTCTTTGGCTGCCTGGTCCGAATGATTCACATTTGTAAACGAACAGATCAACTTCTGCGCCTACATTCACAAAACATTTTGCTGTAAAAAAACAGCGAAATGGAAAATAGGCTGGGGAAGCAACTTACTCCAGCTCAACCCAGAACTCCTCAAAATGGCGAACACACTGATTGTTTGAGACCAGAAGATAACACTTTTCTAAGCTGTAATCACAGTACTCTCTCTGAAGTAGTGGTTTGCTCAACCAAAGATCTGCATCAACTGCACATTCTGCATTAACTGCATCAGTTTCACAATCACCACTGAGGCGAGTCATGCCGTTTAGAAGTGTACCCTGAAGCACACGTCGCATTGACATTAATGCGCACTGTTTATCCAGTTCTATAATTGGCCTAGTAAAGAAAAAACTCAGGAGTGAACGGTTGGAATCGAACCTGCATGCAACAGGACGACGAATTATTAATAAATCAGAAAAAAAGTGTTAGACATCAGGGAGAATTATTCAAAGAAAAATTCTGAAGAGCTGCAAACAATTTGTACTGGTCGCAGGTATCGAAGACAGCAAACATTTAGAATAACAAGCGAACTGATCTGACTGACGCAGGAATAGAGCTTTTTTTTGCTTTCCAAAAACGCATAATTACGTTATTTCATCTGCTCCTAATTTGGCTAGTGACTATGCACTCGCCAAGTTTTGTGAAGATAAGCCCAAGTAACGACGAGCCAGGCCTGTCGTTG